TACACACGGAAACAAAAAAAAACCAAAAGTCATAGATGAGCTAAAAAATTAAATTCTTACTTTGATTGACTTTAGCTGAAGACTGAACAACATGTTATTATTTTTGTTGTAAACACTTATTTAAAAATAATAAAATAATATTTTAACTATTTAAAATGACTGTCTAACAAAAATATTTTCAGCAATTGTTTATAGATTTTGATGGTGGTAGAATCTATTTNGAATATTTNATNTTTATGGNTATTATCTTTTNAAATATAACATCTTATCATTTATATGAGGATTGATTTTCTATAGCCACTAATTTTTCATATGTTATGTAAATATAATTTCTATACAAAATTGAGTATTATATTAGGNGANTACAAAATTTATTATAATATTTTTTTATATAAAGTTGTTGATAATGTTTTTACAATTTCCTATTCGTTATTAATTTTTTGAAAATTTTGAAGTTAGTGGTTAATTTAAAAAAAAGATATAAAAATTGTTCTTAGTATTTTATTTGAAAAGACCTCAATAATATTTTTTAAAAAGAAAATAAATTTTGGAATGGTTGTTAAATTTAAACAAATTTTCGAAATAGAAATTATAATTTTTGAAATTTATTATTGTAATTCAATTTGTGTTAAATATTAGTTAGAGATTTAAACCATGTCATCTTTTTTAAAGACATGTCATCATTTTCCTCCAATTAAATTAAAACAAATAAGCATTCTCACTAATTGTACTTCCCTTTTAATAGCAAGGGAATTTGCCCTCTATATACAACGAAAACCTCCTATATAGGTAAGTAACTAAAGATTGTGCGAAGCACTATTCAATTTTAATTAATCCCAAATTCAAAGATACGACAACATAATTACTGTTCAATTCACAAGTTGTCGCACCATATTCGGAAAAGTGATTATACAGGTAGAAAATATAAAAATTAACATGCAATAATTGAATTATCGATTTAAGCAAAACGCTTAGAAAACATCGTATACTCAAACTCGATTTAGTGAATCAACTTCGTATGTCCGAGTTAAAGTTGAATGAACTTTTTTACTGGATATTCTACGAAGAGATGATAAACATCAATAAATGTAAGCGATGACATAGATAAGTTCATAGGAACGAGTTTCTGAGAAAGCATCAACTAAAATCGTCGGGGCGTCATTGTTACCATTTGTTCACCACATTCATTCACCATTTGTTCTTCTACCATATCACGGTTTCTGAAACTTTTATGCTACTAAAAACAAAAGTGAGAGAGAGAGAAAAAGAGAT